GAGGGAGGAGGAGGAGGGAAGATGAGGGAGGGAGGAGGAGGGAAGATGGAGGGAGGAGGAGAGAAGATGGGAGAGGAGGAGGGAAGATGAGAGAGGGAGGAGGAGGGAAGATGAGGGAGGAGGAGGAGGGAAGATGAGAGGGGAGGAGGAGGGAAGATGGGAGAGGAGGAGGGAAGATGAGGGAGGAGGGAGGAGGAGGAGGGAAGAGGAGGGGGGAAGATGAGGGAGGAGGAGGAGGAGGGAAGATGAGGGAGAAAGAGGAGGAGGGAAGATGAGGGAGGAGAAAGAGGGAAGATGAGGGAGGAGGATAAGGTCTGGAGGGGCCTGAGGACAGATGGACACCAGAATGTCCAGGTGGCCCTCAGAGGCATGGGGTTTTGCAAGACGGGCCTGGGGCACAGCTGGCTCTGCACCTGAGCCCACTCTTCCCCTTTGGGGGCTCAGTCACCCCATCACAGAGTGGAGCAGGGCTGACAACAGCAAAAGCATGTGTGTGGTTTGCCTACCTCTTAGGATGGTCCCAGGTTCAAAGACAATGCTATGTATGCAAAACACCCCTCACCAGATGTGCGTGTGCAATCTCAGGGCCCCACAGCCTCTCTCTTCTCGAAGAGAGTCAAGCACGGCGCTGAAGAGGCTGGAGATCTATCACGTAGGATGTGGATGAGAAAGAAAGGAAAGCAGACACACTCTCTGACCCGGGGCTGGTCTTGAGGACTAAGGGTCCTCACCTGGCAGCACACATCCATCACCCGCCCCCAGAGCAGGGGTGGGGGAGAGGCACACTGTTCCCCGGGAGGTTCCACCCAAAACAAAAAATCTGGCCTCACATGCTGGGGTGGGAGGTAGTAGGCGTCTCCTTGGAGATCTCCGTGAATCATAGCAAATGGGCGAGTCATCGTCCTCCAAGAATCCTTGGGGGTGATGGTAGCCTCGGGGCCTCTCAAAGTCCACGTTTCTGCCTGGGTATCTGCTGTAGTAGCCATAGTTTTGCCTGGAGGTCAGAGAAGAGGGCAGTAAAGTTCTAGGTAACAAGCTCTGTCACTCAACCCTGCCAGACTGACATCCATGCTCCTCTCCCCACCTCCTCCCTTGGATACAGTAGGACTGGCTGAGGACAAGGCTGGCTTCAGTTTCATGGAAGATTCCAGATGGAGAGCAAGGGCCATTACAGGAAGGTTGGGGACTGGAGGCCTGTGCTGAAGGATGTGCTGGCAGTTTTGATCCCTCAGCTCCAGGGCAAACGTGGATTGCAGATGTCCTGTGAGCCAGTCTCTCACCCACTCATTTCCTCCCTGAGAGCCCCTCTCCTGAGCGCCTTCCCTCTGCCAGGAACTGGGCACCAGGGACACCAAGATGCATGAAGCATGAGCCCCACCCTCAATGGGCTTAGAAAATGCCACGAGCACAGCGAAATCGAATGCAAGCTGGAAAGAGCCAGTGCTGGAAGAGAGGAACTCATATGGTTCCGTGAGGTTTTCTTTCTGGGGGGTGGGAGAGGGATTTCAATTCCAGTCATGGAAACAAAAAGCAAGGCCCTAGAGCAGACCCTTGAGAGGGGGGATGAGGCCAGCAGATGGAATGAGGGCATCCAAGCAGGCGCCAGTGTGAACAAAAGCCCTAGAGAAGGGAACACAAGTTCCTTTGGCTCAGAGTCAGTGGTTTCAGAAGTCAGGCATTTGAAGGAGACACAGGGAAGAGCCGCCGGAGCAGAGGGCGGAGGGTGATTTTCATCCGCCTGCTACGCCTCCTAAAGCAGAGTGCTCATTCTAATTACAAACATTCTTTCTGCAGGACAGAAGCCAGACGGACCCCTCTGCTGAGTGACCCCTTGTTTCTTCATCTCCCCAAGAGACCCCTTGAAGTGGCAGGAGGCAGGTGCTGTGCATGAGGACCTGGCCAAGCTCCAGGCTGGCCGAACCGCTGTGCACACAGAGCCCTGGGGCCACCAGAGCTCCAAGTGTTAATTCAGCAAAAACTGATCTCTCCAAAGACAGGGGGTGGTGGAAAGGCACTAACCCAGCCATGAAGCAGGCCCAGCTCCCATTTCCCAAGCTGTCACTAAAAGGCCTCAGAGGCCCCTAGTGGAAATAAGCAACAGGTCTGAAAGAGTAGTCCCCACCCTGCCTCTCTGTGGCTCTCTTTCTCCAGCTCCACTCTCCCTCTGGCCTGGAGTTTCTGCTCCCGTTTTGCTTTTTTAGGGGAAGCCCAGTGCAGCTGCCGGTGGCCCTGGCTTCCTGAGCAGGCAGAGCACCAGGGCAGGGCGGCCTCCTGCTCTCCACAGGAGCCAGAGCAGCTCACCTGCTCCAGGTGGGCGAGCTGTCATCCTCATAGCACTCCTCGCTACTGAAATACTCCTGCTCCCCGAAGCAGCGGGGGTCCCTGAAATAGCCATGTATCTCTGGGTCTTCCCGGCAAATAGTTGGGAGCTGTTCATCTCCTGAGTCGGACCTGCAGTCGGGAGAGAGGATCTGAGAACCTGGGCAGGCGGCAGATAATTCTTGCTGCAGCCGCACCTCTGCATGTGGCCAGCAACCCTGCCTGGGTGCTCCTCGCTTCTCCCAGCATGCACCTGCCTCAGGCAGCACTGGACTGCTCAGGCTTCTGGCAACGGTAATGTGTGTCTGTCTGTGTGTGTGGTGTGCCTGCGTGCCAGGATAGGGTCTCTCTCAGTGCCCTGTACAATGTTGGTGTCAAACCATTGTGTCCAGAGGCCTTGGAGCCAAAGGAATAGGTGCAATTTGGAGAACAGAACAAAAAAATGGACCTACGATGCTGCAAACAGTGGTCGGCGGCCCCCGGAAAAAGACCTGGGTTCCCAGGGCATCTGCTCTGATCCCTCCCTCTCCTTCTAGTCCCCCAGCTCCAGCCTAGTGTGACTTCAAAACCTGGAACAAAGGAGCTTCCTGGCCCCCGATCTCTGCTATATCAAATCAGGAAGGTCACGTGAGTTCTGGATACAGTGCCACAGGGGAAATTGTCACAGAACATGTCCACCATGTTTCCACAGGCTGCCCTGCCCCAGGAATGTGGTAAGTCTCCCTGAAACCCGGCTCGTGCTGGCTTCAGTCCTCAGAAAAGGCCTTGGCTAAGTCAATCCTCTCTCCAAAGGAAGGATGGTGCTTCCTCCGACTTCTCCACTTTTTTGCACCCAGCTCGGGCCCACATGGCTCCCGACTTCACTTGATAACATGACACCGGAAGACCTATCCTCCCCTGGCCCCCAACAAAATGAGCATTCCAACCACGATTCAACTCAGGTCAATATGCGTGGAGTGGAATATACTACACATATCTCGAGGGCTTCAGGGAAAATGACAAGATCCCATTCCTGACCTTCGGGAGGTTTGGGTCATGCTGCAAAGCATCCACAAGAAGCCTGACTCCAGAGAGCAGCTGCAGCTGCCAGCCACACAGGCTGAGGCCTCCATAAGTGCACAATGGATGCTCCTAATGCCATTGTGAGGCCTGCAGGAGCCAGCCCATGGGGTGTACCTTGTGTGTGGACACCAGTCCTTGGATGGCAACAGTCGACAGAGATATGGATCTGAAGGTGCCTTTGCTTAGAAGCAACAACCTCTGACCTCTGAGTCCCCAGCCATGAATTATGATAATCTTTAACAGGCTGGCCTGAAGAAGTGTTTCTCATTCTTCAGCACTCAGAGAGGCCAGATGGTAACATACCATCACAGTATTTAAGACGAAAACAGGTAATGAGCACATACCTAATGTAAGTTTCATAATAGCGGGTTCTATCCAGGAAAGGCATAACATGGGAAGGAGGGAGAAGATAAAAGTTAATTTCCAACCAAATTTACAATGCAAACATCAGGCTACCTCCTAGAGAAGGGGTTAGCAAATTATGATTTGCCATCCACATGAGGGCTGCCACCCGGGCTTCTATGACCCATGGGCTATAAACAGTTTTCATAGTTATAAAGGATTGAAAAAAATAAAAAAAAAATCCCAAGACAAAAAATATCTCATCATATGTAAATATATGAAGTTCAAATTTCAGTGATCATAAGGGAAATTTTACCGGGACACAGCCACACACCATTCACTTACATATTTCACACTGCAGCGCCAGAGCTGAGAAGCTGCAAGACTGTATGGTCCTCAAAGCCTAAAATATTGACTCACTGACCCTTTAGAGAAACAATTCAGCAACCCCTGTCGCACAGTATGTGAGCACAACTGAGAGGCGGGTTTGTGGCTGCTGTTTTAAGGCCCCTCGGTGCCCCCATACAGGACGTAGGATGGCACGTGGCCCTTATCCTTTAGGTTCATCACGTGGAGAGTGTCAGAGGCGGCAATGACCTGGGGGGCACTCACAGATCCTGACACAAACGCCTACGGGGAACCTCCTCCATGCTCCAGAGCACAGAGGACAGACCCGCCTTGCTCCTTGGGACTAGAGGCAACACGGGTGGACACCACATGAGCAAGTGCAAACACACCGTCAAGGTTACCTTTTCACACTGGACCTTCTCTGAGGCTCCCGGTCATGCTTGTGGGAAGAATGATGCCCATTTTCAGACACATGCTCAAGGTTCCCAATGCTGGGCCGCTTTCCATGGGCAGCTTTGGACATATTGGCATTATTGAGATTGGCATTTGTTGAGGTGGGAACTTGCTTTCCTATGGAATTATGGTTATGATGGTTATGACACACCGAATTTCCTGCTGGAGGAAACAGCGGTTTCTCAGTATCACTTGCAGGTGGAATTGAAGGCCTTTGGACATGCAGGGGACGGTGGGTGGTATTGGTCTGCTGAAGGGAATCTCTCCTATCACTATTAACATGATTGACATGGTTTCCAAGCAGGGCACCATTTCTCTGCAAAATAATGGGAGACAACACCAGGTAATTTAACAAGTATTTGATGCAGACTAGCTATGTTAGGTAACTTTTTCTACATGAAAAACAAATTCTAGGCAAGTTCCGTAGGATCCCTGTAGAACAATCTGAGTGTCTTAATGATCAGGGTGAATGTGACTGTGTGGCAGTTGGTCCCCCCGAGATGAGGAAGGTTACCGATTTCCTGAGCTGGGGAGCAAGCTGTCGGCTGTCACTCGAGTGTGCTCTTCCGGTTGCTCCAAGTTGGGGTGACTTATACCCAGCTGGGCTGGCTGGTGGCCCCAAGGGTGGGCATGCTCTCTGGGCTGGGGGACTGAAAGCCAGCTGGTGGATCAAAGAGCTGGCCCCATAAGGAGAAGGGTAGTGTGGGCAGCTGCCAGAAGGACCCAGGACCAGGATGCTCGTCCACATGGCCAGTGGCTGTGGCCGAGCTCCTCAGAAGCAGGCACTGAGGGGAAGGTGGATAAACTCAGGGAAGGAGCTGGCCTGGCCCTAGAAGAGGTGCTGATGCATAGGGAGGGTCTGTAGGCGGGGGAGGGTGTGGTCTGAAAGCCCCTCTAGACCCTGGGGCTGGGCTGCATTCTCCAGACTCTTCCGTGGATCATTAACTGCCCAAACTGGAGTCCTGCCCTGCTATTTCCAGGTGGCCAGTGTGTAGCTAGGCGTGGAATAATTACTTTGAACACATCATCTTCTTCTTCTCGTTTTGTTTCCTCAGGCTCGTCATCTTGCAAATCACACGATATAGCACGCCGGATTTCTGGCCCAATGTCATGCAGTGTCCTTAATCCCGCCTAGATCAATGGAAATGGCAGAACAGGTTAGACCACACATGGGCCCTGGGGCCAGCCTGGGTCCTGGCTTTGCTCCTTCCTGATTCAGCGGTGGGGAGGAAGGCTTCCCCAAAAGCCAATCCAGGGCACTGACTGATGTCACTGAAGGCAGTCTAAGGGTTGCTGGTATGGTCAGGCATCCAGATGGTCAAGAAGGTCCTAGGTAGGATGCCTGAGGCCTGCAACCCAGTAACTTCCTTTGCAAATACCCCCACTTCCAAGGAACACTGCCTGGTTACTAGTGCTAGGGTCTGCCAAGCCAAGAGCTTATGTCCCTGTCTCAATGACAGTCTTCAGTAGGCTCACCTACAAGAGCCCAATCTCTCCAAGCCCAGAGCAGGGCAAGGAGCACAGCCTGGCCGATCTAAAGGGAGGGTGATATGGACTCCCTGGCTGCATCTAGGATGAGGAAGCCTAGGTGTAGGTGCTAGAGGCACAGGCAGACCAATCAGCCCTCGGGCCACTGGTTCTGCTAAAAAGCCATGGAACGAGTGAGTGACACAACACACTGCAACCACCAGCACACTCGGACCACGACGGAGCAGACTGACACGCACACAGACCCGGCCACCATGGTCATCGGGATACCCTGGCCTGTAGCCTGTGTGCAGGCTGAGAACTCACCAACAGGGGGTCCGCTTTTTGAAGATCACAACAAACTGAAAGTGGCTCATCAGCCTTTGCAGACAGTGCAAGACCCACCAGAAGACCCCACTGGGAGACCCCTCGGAGCTCCTCACAGACACTCTGCATCTCCCCTGGGGCCCTCACAGCTGCCTTCCTCACTGTGGTCCCTATGTTGGGACAGGGCCCAGGAGAAGCCCTTCAATTGTTCACAGCTTCATTAGGGAAGCATTCCAAGATGCTTATGCACGGTGCATGGAGGAAGGGTCTGCTCCAGCTCTGAGAGAATTATGTTTTGACCACCAATTTGAAGAAAAACAGTATGCTGAGTTAAAGACTAATAGGGACTGCATGGCAACTTTAACCTTTTCCACCGAAAGACCTGCAACTGAAGAAGGCATGTCCTCTCTGCCCTGGGTCTAGGGTCCTATATCCAGGCAGCCCCTCCTCACTCACTGGCAGTCTGCCTACAGCTCCGTAGCCATAAAGGCCTAGAGAACAGCTAAGACACTGACTGTGCAGCAAATGCTTCAACCTCAGGGTGGTTTGTAAAGGAAAACTGGGCTAAGTGGTGGGTCCTCAGGGGAGGAGACCGCTTCCCTGTCCTTCCTCCACAACACCTGGTAGCATGTGGGCAGCTGTGGCAAGGACAGACAGGCATGATGACCATCCCTGAGACATACACGTGGTAAAAGAGATACCCAGCAGTGCTTCAGGGAGGAGGAGGGGACGGTGGCCGCAGTCTGGCCAGATCCATCAGGGCTGGGTCTCACTGGTCTGGGGATGCTCAAAACTGGTCCTGTGCAGTTGCCAATGCCAGTGCTGGTGATGTTAATTTAGAATGTAAAGTCACGCAGGAACTTCCTGAGATGCCCTTATAAAAACAGCCTGGTGCATAAAAGCACCCAGCCTTTGAGACAATTCTGCTAAAAACGGTGCCAGGTTGGGTTTGATTTGAGCCAATCTGTGAAGACAGAGCAGCAGATCTTTCCATTTAGTGAATTCTGAAGGTGAAAGAAGAGCCGGGAACGGAAGCTTTAAGCTTCCTGGCTAGGAATGCTGAGATCTTATAGGGGACAGACAGTCATGTCCCACGTCAAACCAAGACAGTTCTTGGGGTGGTCAGTGAGGCTGCTTCTCGCTCTCCTGTCCCTCTGATCACAGGCTCAGGATGCATGTGTGTATGCTTGTGCATACACGTACATGCATTCTCTCTCTCACTCACACACACACACACACACACACACACACACACACACACACTCTTTTCCCTCTCTCAGGATCCCTGAATTCAGCACATCTGAGCCTGGGAGATCATTTGGTTCTGAGGTGGACCCACCTGCCATTCTCATGGAAACATCAAGAAGGTAACTGCAATGTTATGTTGGTAAAAGCTCTTACACAGCACAGCTGCAGGAATGTGAAGAAAGGTCATACCCAGCAGTACTCAACAGCCTGCATTTCATTCATTCAGAGCTTCCTAGGGTAAATTATTGAGGGATGATGAGCTAAGCAAGGGTTTCACTTCTGATTTTGGATCAACTGGGAAGAAAAGTCTGTTACATATCTAAGGCTCCCAAACAAAGACAAGGTTTGAGACACTTGCTGCTGCTTCCACAAAATAAACATAGGTTATAATGCACTCAAGTCAACACCCCCAAGTAAATTTGGTACATTAATCCATATTACAAGGCAGTAAAGGCCAGGAATGCTCCCAAGTTTAAACAACATATAATCCTATTTACTGTCATTCAACTGATTGGACTAGGTCTGATTAAAAGAAATAGAAAACTATTTATTTGGATAATTTTTAACATCATCCTCTGTTGACGGGTTGACATTTCACTGAAATACACATATAACATAATTGCATAATAGAAACAAAAACTGTCTCCAGCACATCTTCAGTGATACACAAGATTAGGATTCAGTCGACAAGATAGTGCAATGAACAGACATGGGACAGAGAATTTGTTTGCAACATAAATCATGGAGAAGGTTGAAAGGTGGCCCAAGTTGCCACTTCCAAAGACAAATAATGACAACATATTTATTAAAGAGACATTAGAGGAGGAGAGAAAGCATCGCTCTTCCCAGACACAGAAGCAGAGTCAGAAATCATGATTATATTCTGCTTGTTCCAGGCAAGGAAAAACACACCTCGTAAGAGTCAGGGACTGACTCTACTTTTTCACATGTCATCTGGGGAGGGCCAGGTCAGGCTGTCCCCCACAACTGGGAGTGAGGGAAACAGATGTTCCCAAACTAGAAGTGACGTGAAGCTTAAGCACAGCACCCTGAATTTATTACATATCACAAAACATGGTAATGAAGTTTTTCTAGCACACATATCAAGCTAAAAGGTAGCTTAGGCTGCTCCCAAAATTCCATAGGCACAAGTTCCAGTCCCCAGAAATACAGAAAACTATCTTAGACTCTTGAAAAAATTACTTTTCCACAGCCCTAAAAAAAAGAACATTTTTTTCCTTGGGATAAACACTTTACAATCAGTAAAATTATCTATTCTTTCATATTTCATATCTGTGTCTACCTCTATCAGCAAAATACTATTTTAATTTGAAAAGTGGTCATTAGCACTTAAACCAACACAATTAAAGCCATATAAAGTCATTCCATTAACATCACAGCAGGAATATGGTTTTGAAGAAACACAGAATTGCTATAAAATATAAACATTATTGACTTATTTTAAGATGTCCAATCTTATAAAATATTAAACAGAATCAAGCCTAGTTTCTGGTTGATTTTAAAATGCTAGATGTTATCATAAATATTTTTTTAAAAAGAAATGTTGGCGCTTTGCCTGTAGACTGCTGCTTAAAATTTTAGACACCATTTAGTTGGAATTTCATAGATACTCTATTGAATGATTAAGTTACCAAAAAAACTAAAATGTCTCTAAATACTTCCGAATAGCATAACATGATGATATTTTGACATCAAATATGAACACCCATTTACCTTCCTTTCTCCTGCCCACTTTTAGGGTTAAGTTTCTCCTGCCTAGATGCATTTGCAATGCTTTTGCTGCCTGTGTCCCTAAGCTAGCTCTATCAGACACACCAGCCATCTGCCAGCCCTCACAGCGCCACAGCAAGCATGCACAAGTGCCTGCAGCCCTGTCCTGGACCTACGCTGTAGCAGTGGAGATAAGAGATGCACGTCTCTAGTCGGGACCGGGCCAGGCCATTCATCTTCAGGATACAAGCGCCAGGCTTTCAGACTCCAGCCAAAGAACCCTGCCTGGCAGAGCCTGTTCCCCATCACAGGCAGGCTGCACTCAGCCTAGGCTGGCCCTGTACACAGTCATCTCGCTGGTGACAAGTTCTGGTTAACCCTTTAGCAGGAGTCAGTCTATACCCAATGAGAGGGGACCTTTTTAGACTAGTTCCATTAGAAAACAGAATGAGATTAAGTTCTTATGGAATAAACCTGCTCATCTGCAAGCTGCTGTCCGCCTCCTCAGCACATCACACATGCACACCCCTTATTTTAACACCACTCTCCTCCAGGGAAAATGTGATGGTGGCTTTTGTGTCCCTTGTGAATGGTCCTTGTGTCAGATATAAAGGGTTGGAATCCTGGCGCTCTGTTAGTAATCCACAGTGATTCCCTCACTGAAAAGTCAGGGGTAACATGACCCCCACAAGCTCCCACAGGGGTTCCACTATTCCCATCACTTGGAAAGATAAAGGAAACTTTAAAGAAATTACCCAAAATATGACCTTTGCCTGCACACAATGTGAGAGCTCTCTGTTTCAGTTCCACCTTGATTCTTGGTGCAATCAAGAATCTGATTCTGTTGTAATTTTAACAACCGAATCAGAAAGTCTTGCCAGTTTCCTGATAATAGAGCATTCTGTAAAATTCAGGCTTAGCAGAAGCTGTAAATCACAACTTCTATTCTGATAGCATCTTTATACCAGTCATTGTGAGGTTACATACGAATATTCCACTAGATTCCGGGAGGAAAGGAGAGCAAAGGTTATTCCCATGTGGTTAAATTATGTGCCCAAATGAGTCAAAGGCTCAATGAGGACTCTTGGTCTCTAAGCCTGTTCTTCCTGTGACACTGGGCTGCCTCACCTCTCCCAAACTCTCCACCTCGACCACCACCCAGGCAAAGTCACTGCACCTACTGGGAAAGAGCGCTGGATTGGAGTCTGAATCACACACTTACTCACCTATCGTCACGACTGTGGGGTGCCACCTGATCAAGGCTAACCCTCTTTTGACTACCCTAGCAGAGCTCTTATATTCCTAAGTCAGCATGGAGATGACAAATGATCACAAGCTATCCCTGAAACGGATCCTGT